GGCTTTCATGATCCGCTCCATGTTGGCTGTCCAGCCGTAGGTACTGGTCACAATGCAGCAGGGTGAAGACACAAGCCTATTGGAGATTGTCACCTATGGACAGTCAAAAGAACATGGGATTTGCACTGATCAGTTAACATTTTAATGTAAAAACGATGGTATTTAGTTCCTACTCTGTTAAGTACCTAAAAGCAGGCATGGTACAGAGGCTCACAACTATAATCCCAACACTTTGGAAGGTCAAAGTGGAAGAACCCCTCAAGCCTGGTAATTTAAGACTAGCCTGGGCAACATAGCAAGACCTCATCTCCACAAAAAAATGTAAAACTTAGCTGGACATGGTGACTCCCACCTATGGAGTCCCAATTAATCAAGAGGCTGAGACAAAAGGATTGCTTAAATCCAGGAGTTTGAGACTGCAGTGAGCTATTATAATGCCACCTGCACTCTAGCCTGGACAGACCAAGATGCTGTCTCAAAGAAAAAGGGTAGCTGAAGCAATACCTAATCTTGGCCAAATTTTATAGAAATAACCATAAACCTGGCTAGCAGGCTGTAAACAGAATAGGATGCCTAAACCACTAATTGTGTAGTAGCAACATGGGATTCTGAGGGAGGGTGCCCTCGAAGTATTCAAAATATATCCTAGTCCCAGAGCTACTTACCTTCTCAACCTTCTTATCCAAGATTTCTTTCATGAGCTTGCAGAGGTTCTCAAACTTTGCCTTGCTCTCCTCCATCTTCTTCTTCTCCTCCTCATCTTCAGGTAGCTCCAGGCCCTCCTTGGTAACTGAGACCAGGCTCTTCCCATCAAACTCCTTGAGCTGCTGCACGCAGTACTCATCAATGGGCTCAGTCATATATACCACCTCAAAGCCCCGCTTCCGCACTCGCTCCACAAAAGCAGAATTGGCCACCTGCTCTTTGCTCTCGCCTGTTGAGATTATTAAATGCAACTCAGAGGGACCAAAATGCCTCATATTGCCAGTTCCCAGAAAGCCCTGAACATGCCCCCAACCCAGAACATGGCTTTGATCAGACCAAGGCTCCAACGCACCAGTGATATAATAGATGGACTTCTGTGTTTCCTTCATTCGAGAGACATATTCTGACAGAGAAGTCATCTCATCTCCAGATTGGGACGTATGATAGCGCAGCAGCTCAGACAGGCGTCGCCGGTTAGTAGAGTCCTCATGTATTCCAAGCTATTCCAAGAGTAGGAAGAGAAAAAACAAACTTAATTGGAAATAACCTAACTCTCTGTATGAAAACTTTATCATAATTAAAGAAATAATCAATGGAATAAGCATTTGCCTCCTCACCTTCAGGTTCTTAGAGAATGCCTCATAGAATTTCTTGTAGTTTTCCTTGTCTTCTGCCAACTCAGAGAAGAGCTCAAGGCACTTCTTAACAATGTTTTTGCGAATGACTTTTAAGATTTTGCTCTGCTGAAGCATTTCTCGGGAGATGTTCAGAGGAAGATCCTCCGAGTCAACCACACCACGGATAAGTCTGTCGTCAATCAAGGTAGAAAGCTTAGTAAAAACAGCCAGACCATACCTGGCCACCCACGGATCTGAACAGAATGCTCTATTGCTCCCAGAATTCCCTATTACTATGTTGCAGAGACTGTTTATTTATAGGACAAAGACGATTAGTGTCCAATAGATGCTGATAGGCTAACCTCCCCAACTAAATTAGGCCAAGGAGATACTCACTGAGATACTCTGGTATCAACTCATCACAGCTGTCCATGATGAATACACGACGGACGTAGAGTTTGATGTTGTTCTTTTTCTTCTTGTTCTCAAAGAGGCAAAAGGGGCCCGACGAGGGAGAATAAGCATGGCCACTTGAATTCCACTGACCCTTCTACAGAGAAGTGCTGAAGGGAAGAAACCCAAGATAAGCCAATAGTGTATTTCAGGACAAGAGCATAGCCCCCCAATCAAATTATCTGAAACTGAAACAATTAATTCTAGTACTTAGGGAGAATCAAGCAATTACAGGTAGAAGACCACAATGTCCTAATCTACAATGGTAATAGCTTGTAGCACTATCTCCACCGCAAGTTCATCCGTAGTAACTCACAAGGGCCCGATGATTTCGGAGTTCTCACTGAGCCACTGTTGGACCAAGTTCCTTATGTCTACTACCTGGCAACACCCTTGCTATCCTACTCCCTCTACTGGGAGCCACACAACACACGAGGCTTCTCACCTTGACTGCTAAGTGGTCTTCCCAGTCATTAGTGAGGCTCTTGTAAAATGTCTCCATAACTCCTCCTGGGTGATGGTCGTTCAGGGTTTCTGTGTCAAATGGGCTGGGTCTTGTTAGCTCTTCACTGATTCAATGTATTTTCCCTTAATCTTCTGTTTTCTTTTTCTTATCCTTACTGCATCATCCTCTCTCATCGACCCACATCTTCAATCTTGGCTTCTCTTCATCATCTTTATCTATCCTTTCTTTTCACCTTTCTCCTCTGCTTCATGCATCACTGTTTCCTTCTCTCGTCCTTCTCCAACTAAATTACGATAAACAGTTGGGATACATTACCAGGAAGCAAAGCATGGATCTGAGAGGTTTCAAGCAGGAGATATCCTGTCATGTAATAACAAAAGGGTTATAAAGCCATACTCACATAAAGGGTGATGGGTAAGCCTATGACTGGAGTGCTTTCTTCACTACTCTTTGCCGCCTTCTCCTCTAAGTAATTCTTCTGGTTCTTAAGTGGAGGTATCCCATTTGGTACCCGCTGCCAGATGGCCTCACCTAAAAAGAATCGATCTAACAGAGTTTATAATACGAAATAAAAACAGAAACTCCTTACAGATAAGAGTAGGAGTTATATTTCTACATTGGTTCTTTCCAGAATTCTCAATCAGTGATCCTTATAAACGCTAAGCCCAACTCACCATTGGTCCAGCACGTACAGTGAGGACCCCCAGCAGAAGATCTTCCCAGGCATAGGCGCTGGTTCATATCGTTGTTGCTTTGTGGATTCACAACCACTTTCTCAAGCACCAGGTAGCAGAATAAAAGCCGACGCCTCAAACTGCCCATGCAGAGATTCTGCACCAGCCTACCAACAAGTTTTTTTAAAAAGTCAAGCACAAGTTTTGAAGCAGGAAACAAGCCAAAAAAACATCCGATAAATGTGAAATATGTGGTTGTGCAAACTGCCACATAGCCTGCAGAGCCTCGATGAAGTGCTTTATACCAGACTGGCAATGGTTCCAATTATATTGATGGATAGCTATGTCATTGCAAGCCTGTGTCCCCAATGTCAGAGTGCGTCCTGAGGGTTGGGGATGATGTCAATTTTCAACTCTTTACCGCTGTCCAACTTGGAAGGGTCTGTCAGGCTCTCATAACGAATTTTGTCCAAGGCCTGAAAATAATACAAACAGTAAGTTATTTTTGCTCCCTCAAAGCCCATCTCTTCTCCCAAAGGAAATCTTTGGTATTACTCAAATAGGCCTAATACTGACTGCCCTTAACTTGAAGCTGAAGAACTACAGTTACTCGATTTGTCCTGAACCTAGTCCAGGTCTTTCCCTTTCAAGCTCAAGATGGCCACAGAGAGTAAGGTGTATCTTCCCTTCAACAGGAGCCCCCACTGAGCATCAAACCACTCCTTGCCCTTCTAGATCACTCAAAAATAAATACAACAAGGGACAAAACCGGAGTACTCACATCAGAAGCATTAGAGATCAATTCCCGAAGGAAAATCTCCTTGTTCGAATAGAAGGTGTTAATGATGAGAGACATGAGCTGGGCAATTTCTGCC